GTGGTGGTGGTGGTGGTGGTGGTGGTGGTGGTGGTGGTGGGAGAGGGTGAATAATATTGTCGCTCTTTACGTGCTACCATACAGACACATGCGGCAGAAAATAGTCTAGGCATACTTATTTCATTTTTGTTTGTTTGTTCGCGATACACACCCCACGCGCATCGTTATTCAAAAGGAACTTCGATTGAACGCTTATTACACGTTTCGTTTCGTTATCGTTTCATTTTGTTCGCGTCTTTTCCCCCGGTTTACTCTCCGTTCCGTCCGCGTCGTTCCCGCCGGGCCGTGGAGATATCTTCGAGGTAGATCGCGACACACGACCGGCCAAGGGGAACGCGCGATCGTCACGATCCCCTGCTCGTCTCTACGATGATCGGCTACCATTCGTCACCGTGTTCGATCTTTTAGCGAAAAGCGAACCAATTCTGAAGCAAACGAAGACTTTTCTCTCCGGTGCGCGGTCTCTGTCCGCTCGCTCGCACGCTCGCTCGCTCGCTCGCGTCTCTTTTTCTCTGTTTCTCTCGACCTCGGAAAATAGAATCGTTATCGCTGTCTCGACGGCCGGGGTTGCATCCTATCGCGGGGAGACGGGCCGGGTTGAAAAGGCACCACCCGAAAGGTACCACCGGGCGAATCGGGAACGCGTTTACTCGCTGCCGTACCCCCCGGTCTCTCTGAACACCGGCCTCCTCTCCACTCGTCTCAGGTGCAACTCCAGCCGCTGGCTAAAACGACGAGGACGACGACGACGACGACGACGACGACGACGACGGCGGCGTTCGTACACGCGAGATTGTCTAAAAGCTACTCTCTCTCCGCTGGCGGATCGTCGACGAACGGGGAGGAGGGTAAGAAGGTCTAAAGTAGATCGGCGACGACGTGTTGGACGCGCGAGAGACGAAACGGCTCCTCGCGGTTCTTCCCTCCTCCTCCACACCTCCTCCACCTTTCCATCCTCCACCCGATGCTGGTCTATCCTCTTCGTCGTCTTCTACTTGAAATGAAAATTCGTGAAAAAGCGAGTAAACATGTTCGACGAGAATCTGCGCGGGCACAGGTCGAACCTGTTGTAGCTAGCGCTCGGTGCATGGAGATCCGCCGGTTGCAGATAAGGCCTGAATAGTTAGGGTTTGTTGTTGTCGTTGTTTAACGACAGCGGGTCGGTGATCTTCTGCTGTTGCGGCGGCTGCTGCTGCTGCTGCTGCGTCAGCTCGCTGACCGCGCCGCCGCTCATCAGCTTCGCGTTGTTGTTCTCCGTGCTCGGCACCTTCGCGTACTCCCGCTTCCGCGGCATGTTCTCCGTCTTGACGATCGTGATGTCCGGGTTGTTCTCGAGGACCGAAGTCGCCGCCTTCGACACCGCCGTCGGCACCTCGATGTAACCGCCGCCCTCCCGCTTGATCGGGGTGGATGTGGTCGGCGTCGCCGTTGTCGCCGCGTTCGCGTTGATCTTCTGCAGTATGTCGTTCACCGAGTCGTTGTTCTCCTGCATCTCGTTGTTCCCGTCGAACGCGCCCGACGCTACGCTCAGGTCGCCGGCCAGCGAGATCCTGTCCGGGCCCTGGAGCGTCGACAGATAGGTGGCCAGCGTGTGGACGGTCACGTTCAGGACTTCCGCCGCGCGAAACAACGTGATCTCCTTCCTCCGCAGCTTGGCCAGCACTTCCGCCGGGCCCGGCTCGGACCAGAAGTCCCTTACTCTGTGAACAAACGCACCCATTGGCTCAACTTGTTTCTCCCAACCCCTCTCCAGCTGGCTCCGAAGCGTATAACAACCCTCCGTGAACGGCGTCGAGGAACGGAGTGTTCTCTCTGAACGCGTCGGTTTCGCTTCGCGTTCTGGCTGCGAAGACGCTCTCTCTCTCTCTCTCTCTCTCTCTCTATTTCTCTCTTTGCTCTGCTCGACGCCCGATTGCTGCTCGATCCGATTCGTCGCTTTCTCGATCGACCGCTTTTCGACCACCGATCTCTACGGATTACTCTCTGTGCCGCGACGAATCGCATCGCGCAGCAAACCGGAGCACGCAGAGACCCACCTGCTTACGGGGATGCAACTTGTCCATTCCTCTCTTTCTCTCTCACGCTCACTTTTTCTCTCTCTCTCTCTCTCCCCCTCTCTCTTTCTCTCTCTCTCTATATATATCTCGACGACCAGCGAATACGTCGATATGCTCGTTTTAACTTCCAAACGTCTCGGTACACGTGTAATTGGTCCAACGGCCGGCGAGAGCTTTTTCGATAAACGAGAATTCGTCGGAGCGGAAGCTACGACGGTCCCCGGGACGCGCGGATCCGCTCGTAAAATACGGCGGAGAGGAGGCGCGCGGTTGTTTCGCGACCGGGTCGCGACGACGGCGTGGCGAGAGGGCCGAGAGGGCCGAGAGGGCCGACGGTGGCCGGGTGTGGGTGAGATCGTCAAGTGTGTTCGTCCATTTACCTATACGGATGTTTAAGGCAACCATAACTGTCGCGATATCTGCCGTAGAGGGTGCCGTAGGAGACGCCGAGTAGCTCGGCGGCAGTCTTCATTTCCAATTCTTTGCTCTTAATGGCGTCCATAACGCGTCGCGTGAACGGCTCCTCCCAGAACTCTTGGCGGCGTCCCGTCGTCAGGTAATCGTTCATCTTCACGACGTCTCGGAATTGCTCGGGAATCGATGGGTTCGTAGCGTTGGAATTCGAGGGTGTGTTGGGTGCTGCGGCAAAATCAAACCACGTTAGATCCTTCGCGCCTTGCGTCCACGCCAACGACGCACGCGCGTACGTTACGCGTTCGCATACTTAGACCATACTGTGCTACACGTACAGGGAATCCAACGATACCGGTGAATTCTAATAGACTCGCGAGAATTGTGCAATTTGAATCGCTGCTAATGCGAAGCGATCGGTAGACCGCGGATCTTCGCGCGGTGTCAAAATTGTCTCGCGACTCTTGTATCGAACAGCAATTAGATAAAAATGTATTTCTTCTTTCAACGATGCCGATACAGCGAAAATAATATTATTAGTATTTCCTCGATCCATATTTGCTGTAAATGCGTGAAATCCGCGGTCCAGCGATCTCGGAACTTCCAGCGACGATGTCTGAGAAGTTAAAAAACATGCGACTATGCGATACGTTGTTCCTTGCAGCAACACAGACGCGTATACGAATATGGTCTAAGGTTCGCGGACGCGTGCGCGTTCGTTTTCGCGTTTCGGACCGATAGACGAGGCGTACGAGTCGGCTCGCGACCGAGGCAATTCCGTCGGTTTTTCACCGTCGCTCGAACGCTCGTTAGCCGAAAACTAACGAGGCCGGCGAGGCAGCGAGAGGCGGTCCAGTTAATATCGCGCGTACCTTTCTTCTCTTGATCGGATGCGCTGTCGTCCTTGGGCATGTACGATAGCTGGAAAAGATAAAAAGACCGCGAGACGCGGCGCGCGTTAATAGTCGGCCCCCTCCTCTTTCAACGTCGATCGTAATTTCATGCTAAGGGATGTCGGTCGCTTACCATCGGCAGTTGCGTTTCGTTCGTCTCGTTCATCATCATCTCGTCGTCCCAGCTCTCGTGGTCGCCGCCCTCGCTCATCATTTCCTCCTGGGAAATCAAACAGGTCGAACACCGTTAGAACATTCGCACTCTTCCCCGGCAAAGTGCCGGGGCCCTCCAATCTTTCGTCCGCAATTTTTTACGTTTCCAGCCCTCGGCTCTCTATTCGCAGTCGTCGGCCCGCGACGATCTTTTACGAACAGCATTGCCTGTATCGGCGCGATAATCCTTTAACTCCTCGCCGTGCCATTTTCTCTCCACGGTTTGCAACGATTCTGCTCTCTCGTCGTCGATGCTTGTTCGAGCAAACGAAGCCACGCGACGAAGACAAATTCGCTTTCTCTCGTACGAAATTATTCGCAGACATTTTCACGGTCGATTTAACGAATGTTTAACGAACTTTGTTGTTTTCCTCGAAGGATCGCGAGCGGTATCGCGCGATAAAATAAGACGGATAACGTGAAACGAGAAGATACTATTATTAAACTATGAATGCTATTCGCGATCGAGTCTCGTTTATAAGACCGTCTTAAGCATGGTCTTAAGACGCCATCTAGATTAATCACGCACGAACGAGGATCGTCTACGCGAAGAACTCGTTCCCAAGAAAGATCTCAAGAATCGACTGTGAACCTAAGACCGTGTCTAAGACCATGCTTAAGACGGCCTTGTAAATAAGGCCGGTCACACTTATCGTGACCGAAGTTACTCGAACGGCCGAGTATCGATGACGAGAGACCAGAATTTTATTTCAAGAAGAAAGAGTAACATTCGTACTTAACAATTGCAAGAAATAAAAGTAGCAGCTTCGTTTTCCCTTTGATCGTACAAATAGATTAAAAATAATGCATCGACGCGAAAGAAATACTTTCAATTCTTCGTTGTTATTGCTAAAGATCTCCATCGCGAATCAGATTCTTCAAAGTATGACAAAGAGAAGGCGGATGGCCTTACACGGCCTTACACGGTCATTGGCTTGACGTACATTTCCGGTGATGCAGGTGATTTTCGGTGTGAAGACGTCGTGAATCGAGGGTGGATCGTCTAGAGGCGGACGCCCCCTGCGTTTCTGTTTGGGGGGTGGCAGTTCATCGGCGTCCCCTTCCTTGAGGACCGTCTCGACGCCGGGGGTCGCCGCGCCGGGACTGTGACCGCTGTTGCTCAGGTCATTCTGTGTGGAGTCGCTGCGCCAGCTCACCTCGGCGAGGCCCTTGATGTGCAGGTCCTCCGCGGTTTTCAGCAGGGACGACAATCTCGACTGAAAAGGAGCACAGACATCTTTGATCAGACGCGTCGAAGAAACGCGACGTTCCTACGGTGTCCCGACAGAGCTTTCGTTGTCCTCTGCGAACACTGTGTTCTCCACCCTTCGTCCTTCTTAGTTCGTCGCGCGCGTCGTAAATCGTCGAATGTAATTTTATTTATTTGCTTCCTCTTAAAAGTATTTTCACGTTTAACCTTCAACCGAAGACCAAATTCTCTTTATAGCTCGATTCGCAGACTGATAAAGACGTCGAACCGACGGACGCCACCACCGGTCGAAGGTTAATCGATCGAATTTGCTTTCTGAAAATGAAACAGCTTGCGAACAAAAATTTGTGAATTTGGGAAGAGGAGACACGATTGTTCGAGGCTCGCGCCTCGTTTTCATACCTGTTGGCAATCGGCAACCGTAAAAACGACCTCCTCTTTCCAAATGGTCCATTTTTATTTGCAAGCCGAGCGTCGATTGGGCAGAATTTACCGTACACCCGTTCTCACCCACGATCGAGCCTAGCGTCCTTGCACTCCTTGTCTACAAACCGTGTTTCCAGTCGGATCCTTTATCGGCCGAGCCAACGAAGAAGAACGTAGACCGATCGATTCGCCGCGGGACCGGAAAACCGAGCAGAACAACCGAGATTCTTCCGTTGAAAAAAAAGCCGTCGGACGCGCGGCGTAGAAGCGATTCGAGGTTTCGTGACCGGCAGCACGTTCCATATACACGGGCACACGCTCACATCCACCGACTAATCAAGGTAAGTACCCAGTTCCTTCTTTTTAGCCCGACATTGGCCCGACCGCCTCTGGCAAGAGTTACCCGGCGAGCGGGTAATACATTTAACCGGCCACTTTCGATACATCCCCGCGGCGCAGTTCAAGCATAAATGGAATAATATACGGACAAGCGTGTTCCACGGTTCCTGGCACGAGTACCCGGGCTGGCCCGACCAGGCCCGACCCGTTCCCACGTCCGGCGTTTCTTCGTCGCGAGGAGCCAAGCCGAGGGCGAGGCTCGCGGGGACGCGCGGCCAGGTAAATCAAATTATCTCGATGGGAAAAGATCACGGAAAAACGCGATCGCGATAACGCTGGAAGAATTAGTCCCGCGGAACCGCTATTATCGCAACGACCATTACTCGGACGCCCGATCGTCCAGTGTTCCATCGTCGGAATGCTATCCGTAACGCGCGTTCAGCTCCGCGAAATCCTTCGCGCTGGACGACAGACTCGTCTACGCGAAACTTTTTAGCCGAGCCTCGCCTCCCGCAGTTTACGTGAACAGCTTCCGAGCATAATTAAAAACGCCGAGGATAATTAAAATAACATAAGCCTTCGCTTCGAATCTCTAAAAAAGAAAGACGTGAAATCATTCGCGAAGATCATTACGATTTTCTTATTTACTTCGTACTATATCGTGAAACGCGTTTTTCCAATAACGCGTGTATTTAATATCTCGCTAATAATGGCAAAAGAATAATGAAATTTCCTTCTCGTTTCGACGCACACACGCGCCGCGGGCTTTCGAAACCTCGTTCGCAAATCCTGCTGGAAAGCATTCCGGCAGCAATTTCGACATTCTAGCGAACTTACGAATCGGTAAATTGTATTAGCAATCGTCTATATGAGAAATATTATCGACGTCCGTGTATTTCTTTGAAAAAGAAGGGATAGGCTGCTTACGCTGGAAATTCATTAGCACGAAAGTTACGGGTTTTGTACCGCGGCGGGCATAAGGAGCCGCGCGGTGTGCACGGCGGCGGTCGAATAACAAGGTAAAAGCCGATATATCGGCGGGCAGCTGGCCGGCAGCGGAATAGGTCCAATTATTATTTACCAATTTTCACCGCAATAATGCCGGCGCGACCGAGAGAATGCGAAATTATATGGGAACTTTCTACGGACGGAGCGCGCGTAGCGGCGCGGCTGGCTTTCTATCGGCATCGGCCACGGCCGGAATCGGAAAAATGCTTATGTGGGTCAGCGTCTACAGTCTACGGTGTACGGCGATAGAGCGAACGAGCGAGCGAACGTTTCAGAAACCGGCGCCGGATCGCGCCGCTTTCGTTTCGCGATCGGCCACGGAAAAAGCGTTGCTCGATGGCCCGTGCCGCGCCGGCTAAAGCTCGGCCCTCGGCCGGATCCCCGCCGCGGATTTTCACCCGGAGCCAGCCGGATTTTTCGCGGACGAAACGTGGCCGGTGAAAGCTCGCGGAACGCTGCTCGATCACGAATAGAAATCCGGAAGACCGGCACGGTCGTTCTTCTTCGGCCCGATCCTCCTGGCACCGCGGATCCGATTCGAATTCGAGATGGCTCGTCGCCGCGGATCGAGGAGAGAACGCGACCTTTTTTACACGGAAATGTCACAGCGCCGCAGGAATCGGCCTTTTCCGCAGAGACTTCGCCGGGAGGACGTTCGCCGCGAGAAAGAATTCCTACGTTCGGCTGTGTTTGATCGTCGAGAGTACGAACCCCTTGGCTACGATGCACAGAGCGACAGGATAAGGGTTCCGGTTACCGACACGTTAACGATCGTCTTTCGTTCATCTATACAGGGTGTCTAGAAAAGTCGGGATCAAAGTTATACAGTGAATTCTCCCTAATCGACGTTCGGAATGTGCAGAAAAATGGACAATTTGGGAAGTGGAGGTACGATTATTAAAGCTTTGTACTACGTAGGGCTTCGACTCTTCCCAAATTGTTCATTTTCGTGCAGAATCTCAGCGTCGATTAGGGAGAATTTACTGTACCTGCTATGCGTTACTTTGGTCAGATAGAAGGAAAATGCTCGGATTAACTTGGGTCTTCTTCGTCTTGCTTCATCGAAACGACGCAAGCTTTCAAAATGTACGCACGCGTCGCGTGAAAGAAAAGAAATGAAAAACGAGTCGTTTCTAATTGTTTGCTAGTTCCGGCGTTAAGAAAGCCGTCCGCGAGTATTCTCGGAAGAAGGACAAATCTTTTTGCGAACTTCGGAATGAATGTATCGCGAACGCGAGAGCCCGACAGGCGCGCCGACGACCGCAGTTCTCTGGGAGTGATAGGCACCGATTAGAAAAAGCATCGAACCGTTGCATTCCCACGTACAGTAGCCAGATCTGCATAAAGAACACGCGAGGATCCGCGAACGAGACACACACACACCGGCGTGTACCGAACTTTTCGTGGTCGTTTTTTTCCCCCGTTGGTTAGTTGCACGGCTCGCCTCGCGTTTTTGCCTACCCCGGAACGGGTACTATCGATTGTACACCGGTCGTTATTAGTTAATTAACCGGTGCTCATTGGCCGGGCGTAATTCATCTTTTTTCGCGGAGGAAGAATGAGCGATGCGGACCATTACGGTGCCAGCTGCCCTGTTTCTTGCCTTTCCGGTGCTAGCTGCGGCTAGGCGCACACCTGTACGAGCTGAATATTTCTTTAACGAGTTCGCAACGGCAGGAAGTTACCGCTCCGCGACGCCGCCGACGTCTACGGACGCTGGGTCAGATACGTCCGGTTTTCGCGTATAGGGCTACGGCGGATGGCCCAATTACTGCGCCCTCCGATCAGAAGCGTAGAGAAAACGACAAGCTTTTTTTTATCAAGGCGAAGCGTGTAACGCGTTGTTTACGCGACGAATAAAAAGGTGATAAAAATAAATAACAAGTAAATCGAAGAATAAATAAAAGAAATACTAAGTACGGAAATGAAATAAGAATGAAAAGATTAGAAAATCGGGAAGCTCGACTAGGAAAGAAGAGAAAGAAAATCGATTATAGAGCGACAACAGCGGGCAGCATTGCGCGTCGAGCGCTCGATACGACGCCGAGGAAGACAATTGATGCGATTACGTTCCGTTGTTCCTCGATGCGAACGGATGAAAATCGCGAGGGGCCGCGGAGAAATTTCGCCCGGAACAAACGCGATCACCGTTCGTTGAAAAAAAGCCCAAGGGGCGTAGAGAGGCCGCGCTTCCGGGACAATTTACATGCCACGTAAAAGGAGTGGTTGGTCCTCGAACGACAAATGCTTTCCTCGGCAAAGCCCGGCGTCCCGGACAGGCGGGATCCGTCTTCGGTCGTTAATTAAAGAGCCGAGCATCGATCAAACGTTTCGATTTTCAGCGGGGTTCCGGCGCGGACAAAGTGGCCCCACCCCTTTCGTCAGACAACGCCGAAGAAAGGAACGATCGACCGTGGCGAAAAACACAAATTGGGTCCTCGGGATTTTCGCGGGGATCGACGGCCGAAGGCTTTTGAAGTCCTTTGGGGTCGTCGATTATTAATACAAATCGAGGCCAGGCCGAGCCGCCGCGCGTGTCTCCGTCGCGGCGACGGTTTCTCGTCGCGACGTCCCGCCGGTTGCCGCGGGTGGCAAGTGCCTCTCGTGGTGTCCACGATGTAAATAAGTCGTCGATCGGTCGTGAAAAGGGGGCCGAGAGAGAAAGAGAGAGAGAGAGAGAGAGAGAGAGGAGAGCCGCGCGTCCCCACGACCGGCTTTATTTCTTTAATCAGTTTGAATTTCGCCACTCGAGGCTCGGGCGCCGTTGCACCGTCGTTCGTCCGGGCCTCCGCGACTCGCTTTGTGCCGCCGCTCGAAAGTAATTTCCTCCCGAGGAGGAAAAAGCGCCGATTCCAGAGCAGACTCGCGCGGATCGGTCGCGGGGGAACCGTTCAACGGCTCCTCCATCCGTCTGGAAACACGCTCGACGCGGCACGAGTGTCGTTGAATCCGCGCGCGTTCCGCACGAAACCGCTCCTCCCGGCCGCTCCAAAGCTCGCAACGCGAAATTTCGGCTACGAGATTCTCTTCATCGGCGAGCTCAATGCCCGCCGGAGATCCTCGAACGAAGATGCAGTTGCATTTTTATTTCCGACGCGGTTAAGGGAACATCCGCGGATCCGACCCCGGTTCGACTCTCCATAGAAATTAGTTCGGTCTATCGCTGCTCCGCCGATTTTCACGGTACACAATCGAATTCGGCGGTAACGGCGAAACTCCGGGTTCCCGAACCAAAATGAATACTCGAACCGATAGAACTGCTTCTTCGAAACGGTGCCGGGTTAACCAGTTCGCTGGAAAGTGCGTAAGTTTTACCGCGATTGTGCCGCGTACGTTCGATCTTTCTCACATTTTCTTTAAATACAAACGCTTTCGTAAAATATACGATTTAATAAGGAATATCTGAGAATAACAGGGTGGAATTTAGGTTCGGTTAAAGTTCGGAGGTTTCCATAATCGGGGCACTTAATAATAGAATTAGGATGTTCGGTGAATACTCACGTGATCGATGTTGATCTCTCCTTTGTACATGAACTCGACCAGAATTTTGATATCCGCGAACTTCACGTCGCGCATTATGACGATCGGGTCCCTTCCGTCGAACTGCGACAGGATTGTGTCGAAGAACGTGCTGCACGCCGACAGAACCACCTGCAACAATTTAATCGAGGCGCAACTTAGACTCTGTTACATTCTCTTCGGGTTCTCCTCTCGGCGAGAACACTGGTACAATATCGTAAAAATACTTTCAACCCTTCGACAGTGCCTCGAAACAATTTTCGAAGCTTACGTTAAATATCAGCTCGAGTAAACGAACGTATAATAATTTTGTATATTCTTTAACCAACCCCTTCCTTAAAACTAGCTGAAACAAGCAAAGTTAAAAACATTGGGAAAAACGAACGTCTTGGACTCGTTTTGCCGTACGATCGAACTCGCAATAAACTAATTAATTTCTTGAAAATTATAGAGCGTCGAAGTTAACAAGAATCGTTGAATTTTTCGGGAACTCTGAAGTCAACAGCGAGTACCGAAGGCACCGAGTTCTACTCTGGAATGCCAAAGGAGCGATAGAAAGGGTAAACGAGTCGGAGAAGCGGTGAATCGTCCTAGCCAAAACACGGCCAACTTTGACACTGGTAGTTCAAGGGAGAACGCAGCCGAATCGGGGCCGCGACCGTAATTAAGGAGCCGGTGGAATCCACGGGCTTTAATAAGGGCACACGGCGCCGTGTGTCCGTCATTATTAATTAAGAGCTCGGGATACGAGGCTCGTGCCGAGCCGAGCCGAGTCGGGACGAGTCGAGGCGAACACCGAACCGAGACAGCGACGCGCGTGATACGTGTCCGGTGCCGCCACCCGGTATAAATCGCCAGATTACGGGACGCGCGATCGAATTCTTAAGCGAACGCTTCCCGAACAGGCTCCGATAAAATATGTATTTCCGGCTCGACGCCCGACCCGGCCAGCACGTGCAGATCTGTCATGAAAGTCAATGAAGCACTCGGCGAACAGGCTACTCTCCCGTCCCATGGTTGCCGCGGTTTTTTCTGGACGGCGCCGATGAGAGAATTTCGCAGCTTCCGGGGAGGACCGCGAGCTAATTCGCGGGATTCCCCGAACGCAGGAAACTAACGAATCGTCTCGCGCGCGAACGTGGTTTACTTTGTACGTCTGCAAGTTTCGAGGGAATGATCGTTATCGCGTTGGAAAAATTGATTTATTTATCGAGTGAGCGAATAAGCTTTATATCGAACGACTGCTTTTGCTTCGTATTAAAAGGTAGTCTCGTTAAAGAGTCGAAGATGTCCAGGTAAACGATATCGATCGTATGGTGGCATCGACGATTTTATCTACGAAACAGACCGTCGATAATGATAGGATTAGAGGATGATTAGTCGTGCTGTGAACGTTCCGCGTGTCGGATCGCGATAGTGAGAGCGAGGCTCTGAGAAAGTTGCGGATTTTGTCGAGTAGCGGCAGCCAGCGTTTCGATGCTTCGACGAAATGGAAACGTTGCGAACATTCGACCAATCGTCTCGGCCATTTACTTTGTAACTAGAGTGCGAATTTTACGTATTTATTGGAAGATTGGATACTTGCGGTTGAACATAGGATAACGACTGAAAAATAATGAAAGAAAGGTGGACGCGTTATTTTCAATCGATTAAAATGATCGTCGAAATAAACGTTGTTCTCTCGCGTTTCCACTGCATCGTCTTCACGGTGGTTATTTACCGTCTTTATGGAACTCGTCGTTGCCGTGCTTGTTTCGTTTCGACTCGTTTCACATCATAATTACGCTCGCAGATAACCCCGATAGCTACGTTCTCGTCCTAATTTAATTAGTATCCGTAAAAGGTACGAACGCGTTGGACGAGCAATCGATGGGACGCGGGGGCCTCTCGACTCCGCAGTTTCGATGCGATTCAACGAAATACTTTGCTCTCGTAAACTGTTTAAGTCGTTGCCCGTCAAAGTGTTACAAGTAGGAAAAGACTTTAAACTTGCTGGCCGGCATGGCGAACTTTGATCTTTGACGTAAGAGTTTATACAGTTTATCGATGGCTAGCGCCGGTGGGTTATTAATAGGTTGACAATAGGCTCTTTGGGTCGTCCGATTCTTTCAGCGATCGCGATTAAATTTGAGTCCGACGATAACGCCGGGGAAGACTCTCGTTATCGTCGCGTCGGAGTTTCCGGGAATCGGTAAATATCGTCGGAAGACCCGAAGTTGCCGGTCGACGAGATCGTTCGGAATTCTCGCAGTTCGTAACCGACAGGGGACCTCCGAAAATCGATGGGAACGGTGGTTGTTTAATAAACGAGGAAAAGGAGATTCTCGCGAGCGTCTCGGTCTCTCGGAGGGCCCGGAATCCTGAAAGCGATCCCGCAAAAAGACGCTGCAACCGACCGCTCAAAGACGCCCCGTGTGAAAGCGGCTTAAAGCGATCCAGGATACGCTGCACACGCGTGCACAGCCGTACCCGGCAGCTGTTTAAGCACCGCCGATCGACGGGCACTTCTGTCAATCGCGATTTTATTTACCGACACGTCGTTTATAAAGCGACGCGTATACCCCGTCAGTATCCCGTCGACCGGTTTTCATCGTAATTTCGCTGCCACCTATTTTCTGGAGTAATCTGGTTACCGTGTAATGGAGAACACCGAAACCCGGCTCGTCACTCATCGAATTAACGTAGTCGAATGCGCATTGTTCGTACCTTTCCGAAATGTCACGCGCCGGACGCCGGACGCCGGACGCCGGCCGAAGGGCAGAAAGAGACCGATGAATCTTCTGGAACGCGGGAATTAACCGAGTCGAATTTACGAACGGCTTAAGCCCCCGTTCCGATGCTCTGCACTTCCCCGTTCTTGGAAACGACGACAATTCCAGCGAACGGTGCAACGCGACGCCGCTACAAAGCGCTTAATTCGAACGCCGATGACATCTCCATTAAACAGCGAATAAATCGGGCCCGGTTCTACCGCTCGAATTTATTACCGGGAGTTTATTAGTTTGTCTCCGCTATCGGATTCTCCGACGTCCCGTAAATCAGCAGGGCCGAGCCTACAGCTTTTGTCAGCGACACCATCGACGGCGAATCGGAGATCGGCAACAGCATCGAAGTTCCCGATGTTCCGCGGACGGATTTCGAATCTGGAGCTTCGCGCCGTCCCTTCGGGGAGATACGATCGCGAGAACGAGGGTAATTGTTGGCGCGATTCGAAGCAGAATTGGGCGTTATCGCGAATAAATTCTTCGATGAACGTTTTATTCGAAAGATACTTGGAACACGTTCTTATTCAGGCTGAAATTCGTGGAGTTAAATTTTGCTCTTTTAGAAATAATTTTGCTGAAATTATTTCTCTCTATCCTGCTTATACAAACATTCGGACCCTGTCTTTCACCGTTTCTTTGCAACGTATTTATTATTTTGCAACAATAAACGTTACGTCAATAATCTCGAAACGACGAAAACAGAATATTTTGGAGGTTCGCCGTCGTTTTGTCGCGGAGTGTACACGTTCGGGCCAGAGCTCGTTTCGGCCGGTCGCCGATTACGCTGGTCGTTCCCCGGTTCAATTTCTGTCTATGATCGTCCAGAAACCAAAATCATCTGTTGCTAAAAGATTCATCCTTGACTGGGTTAATGGCTCATTAAAATAAATTGATAATCCGGAATCGCCGAGTCCCCGAATAGCGGCGTCGCAGAAATGGGTCGGAGCGAGGAAGACAATTTTAGTTCGCGGCCGAGTATCGGAACGGACTGCTAACGCCGAAGATAATGCGGCCAATTATTTAACAGGTCGTTCCATAATTTACGCAATTACTCCGCGGGACGTTGAATGAATCTAAATTGCAGGTGGCCGCCCGTTAAAAAAGAGAACCGGCTCTCGAATACGCGCGACTGAATTTAACAGGTTCGCGACGAGCTGAACCAGCGCGGCGCGGTACATTCATGTTTGTACCAAGGAACGGGATGCGCCACGTACACGATTCTCTACCGTCGCACATCGACCGCGTCGTAGCAATTAATAAACTAACCGCTGTAATTGACAAGTTTATTTACAGCTTTCTACACGTAAGAGAACTCTGTCCTATCTTCGCGAATTTCTTCGGCACGATCGCGACGCGGCAAGATTTCACTGTCTTCGCTCTTGTTCAAATTTTTTTCGGAGATACCGTTCGCGGCGAAATGAAATTCGATGCTTCCTCTTTCGTTTAAAAAAAATAGTAGGTCGCTGCAATAAATTTTGGCAAAGTTACAGCACTTCGAAGCAACCCTTGCATTTTTGGCATGTACCGCCAGCCATTGGTATTTTCAAATGTTGCAGATTTCCGTAAGATTTCCGACCGCCGCCAGTGTCTAGAAAATGTCTGAAAACGTTCAGTTTCTTCGAACTTTTATCTTCGGATATTTTGCCGATTTTTAACGCGACGCGTCGACTAGTTGCTTCGAAGGACCACCCCTTTCCAGGGGTGACAAATGAGATCGACAAGGGTTACCTTCGAAGTGCTGTAACTTCGCGAAAAAAAATCGCAGCCACGTTCCCTTTTTTTCTAATTAAAGAGAAAGAATCGAACTTCGTTCCGCTGTCAACGGCATCCCCGAACAAAATTTGTCAAAATCCGTGCGTTTCGTCGAACTTGGCAATTTTCAACGTGACGAACATGCCTCCGGATTTAAAGGGTTACAGCGACGAGAGAGAGCATTAAACATGAAATTCGGGAACGCTGACTTAAATTAGAGGGGTTTCGATCTTTAATTCGAAGAAAAGATGATCATCCTGCGATCGTTTTTCGCGGAGTTATCGTCGATCGAAGATGGCCGATTTTTATCCAAAATTTGTCTATGCTGTAATTCTTCTCGAATTGTATAAAATCTTTCAAGACCAAAGGTTAATTGCTACGCATTTTAATCTGACGGAACAAAAATTCCGCAGCAATAGGTACACCCGCAGTAACATATACCACAAGTCTGTACCGCTGCGTCGATCGTGACGCGCCTGTAGATCTTCGTGATCGCCGTTCCTGAATCGGCCGGTACAATCAAAACGAGACACACCCTCCGCGGAGCCGTGGCCCCGAATTTGCATTTCATCCCGTGGAAATATAAATTGACTCTTTTTCAACTTCGTGCCGCAT